GTTTTCAGATAGTTTCTGAATTTTTCAATAATTTCGTTACGTATTCTAGAGTTGTAGGTAGAATTCTCTTGGCTGCGAAGATTTGCTTTCCCTATATGCGGGAGCTTAAAATATTCAGTTTCCTACACTAGTATGTTTTACTATGTATTAGAGTTTTAGGAAGTATACTTAAAGATAGGAATTGGTTATACATATAAAAATAAACAGTTCATACTGCATATTAGAGGTACATGATCAGAAAACCTACCTTAATCTGGACATTTAGTTTGGCCTGGGAAATGAAATAGGACTTTTCTCGACGAGAACTTCACAGAATTTTGTGTATCAAACACACCTTCACAAATCACCTTTGAAAAATCCATAATCTTTATTTAATTCTGAACAATCTGCGAGTTGTTAAGCTTGTAGAGTTCCTCACTTTGTTTGTCTAAAGTAAACTCGAGGAAACTAGTGAATTTACCAACTTATCGCTAAGTTCAATTAATTAAAGATATAGACTCAAGAAGGGTAAAATTACCCTTTATTTCACTCAAGTAAGAATAACAGTTGGCCCCTTTTTCGGGCTTACAACAAAGCCTTCACTCTGGCTTAAACTCAGAATAAGAAACAAAAACTAAACTAACTATGATAGACTTAGTCAAAACTAAACTCAAGTATCTAACGTAGTTGGCCCTGAATTTAAACCAGCCGATGAATATCAAAACACAAGTAATAATACGGCCGAGCGTAACAGCTTCAAGAGAGATTTAGCTATAAGGCAAACATGGTCAGGATTCCTAGCCTCTCTCACGAAGTACGCTGAACCTTCCTAAAATACTTCTTCTAACTCATTTGCATTCAACGCGATTCTGAAAACTCATTCTGGTAGGGAATTGTAAATGGAAATAAGAATTAATAGGAAAGTGACTTTAAAATTAAAATTACTGTTATAAAATTAAAATATGCCTTACAACATCTTTCCGTAATTATCGAATTTTCCTCAACATCGTAGATTTCCATTAATTAGAAAAAAACATGAAGTGAAAAATCAAACTGGATCAACAATCGGCCATCATTATGCAAAACTAAAATTTATCACTCATGCATGCATAACTTTCGGTGGAAATCCTCAAGGATACGAAAGAACTGATTAGTGGACGCATGGCTAACCTGCGAAACTGTTGGTAGTTGTCTCAGCTTTTTTATTCTATTGAAGAAATTGGATTTTCGTGGTTTTGCTGTTTTTATTTTGTATACTGTAAATATGTGAAAAGAAAATTCTTTACAAAGGCATCATCCAGTAAGGCAGATAGCAGTAATCTAATCCAATCCAGTCAAAAATGCATTATAATTACCAAAAAAAAATTCAAAATGATGTCAGTCTTAAATCTCTTTCTCGCCAGTTTGATTTCTTGTACCAATAGGGATTTAAACAGACTTTAGATCTTTACACTCTGTATGGAAAGTTCTGAATCTTTCTGATTCTTGTCTTCTGCTTTCATACAAATCTTCCTCGGGATCAAGAGCAGTTTTGCCTTTATATAAAATCATACAGTCGTAAAATCGCCCATTGAATCTTCTTAAGCAAGTGATAAAATTCACATTTCCATTTGCCTAAGAAGATGCAGTTTCAAAATTGGACACATTCAACTGACTGAGTGTTTAAGACCGCTGGAGTACTAGGAGTTCGACCTCAGTTCGTTCCCAGGCAAAGGGTTAGCTGCATGGTTGACTTTTATCAACCACGTGTAACGTGAAGTATGAATGTTTAATGTGAAGATGAGCCAGTTTCCTTAAGAAAGTACTTTTGAAGGCCTTCCTCTCCTTAGACAGATAGTTCTTGTGCGCTTTTCCGTACTCAAATAACCAAAGTTGAGCTGAAACTAGAAGTTCAAGTTTATTTTAAACTAGAAACAAAAGAAACTAAAATTGTTCACTTAATCTATTAAGGATCGAAATTCAAACATGGATGGTTTATTTGAAATATATTGATTGCCTGCGTCTTCTACAAGCATTAGAACAGTGCTGTGTGAATTTAAGCTTAATCGTAAAATCGTAATTATATTTGACTTAGATAAACGGATTACTGAATATATTACCTAATGATTACTGAATATAATACTGATTACCAAATTTTTATATCTACTGATTAGTTTCATTTTTCATTATAACTACTGATGATTTTTGAATATAATTCACTAATACGCCGTTCAGTATTAGATGGCGGATTGATAGTGAAGGCGATCACATGAATCATATTGAATTACGCTGAAATTATGAACATTTGAGATCTCCAGCGTCAAAGTTTTTAAAGCTCTGCATTTACTTTTATATTATAGGTAGAATACATAATAAATAATCGCTGAGTAAAAGAATAATAACTTATTTACAATTATCATAGTTTTAAAGCCGTATATATATTCGTTACAAAAAAGGAACGTTTATCTTTAAAATATTAAACCGAAACTCTCAATCATTTTATTCAGACGCTGAAAAATTATTTAGTGCAAAACTCATAGAATAATCCCTGAAAACATAGTCTATAAAGTAAAGTACTTTTAGACTGATTCAGAGGAAAGAAATAAAGAGAGTTCTTTACAGTTGATTGATTTTACACCATTTACATACCCACGTATTTCATGTAGTAATCTAAAAAATATTCAAAGTACCATCAACTGATCCTTTGCTCACGTAATGATGCGAAATCCTGTGACAGGATCTTCGAAGCGACTTAATAATGGCAATCCTTCTGCTGCCTTTCGGACGGTTCCACGTCATACGTCGTTCGTTATGCAACTAATAGACTCCTTGACCTGAATCTTGAATCTTATTAGGTAGATTTATGCCTTAATAAACAGAACAGATTTATGCCTTAATGAACAGAAACAGATTTATTTGCCAGAAATAAACGTGCTTATATTCGTTAGCCAGTGATATGTACTTACGCCATAAATTACTTCCAAATTATTATTCCAGATATGCTTTAATAGTGGAATAGTTATGATAAGAATATTAAGGGTTTGTTCGTAAATAATTTATTCGAGTGAATATTACCTGTAATGCTTATTATTTTAATAATTAAAGGAACGTTTTTACTTTATGTCAAGTTAAGTATAATCTTTAAGTCGAAAATAATTTATAATTCCTTTTTCAACTATTATTTCAATTTCACTTCAATAGCTATAATGAAGATAATAAGGCATATTCCGTATATATTTTATTCACATTTTTATTACCTGCACTATATGTTATTTTAATAGTTGAAAGCGTAATGATGAAATACATTTTACTTTGATAATTAAAAATCAAAAGTAATTTATAAGACTTTTTCAGTTACAAAGATTAGTGAACATATTAAGTGAATGTATAAAATTTTTGAAGAAAAAAAAATCCTCTGGTACCTGGTGGTTTTATCCGCATCTTAAATGGAAAAACCCGGCTTTATGAGTGTTTTTATTGGACTGACAAGAAATTAATTTCGGTTTTTTAGTGTAAAATAAAACTCAGTTTTTTCTGCATAAAAATGAACTTCAATCGTTCAACTATGTACTATTCAACTATTCTGTTCGATAATCTTTTGCCATCATTTTGGTAACTTCATGGTTCCGTGCTCATAGAACTTCTGGTCGTACTCAACAACACACTCAACACTCAACCCAGTGCGATTTGAGATCATCGTTATTACCGAAATTTTTATCGTTTAAGAAGTTTTGTAAACTTGGAAATAAATGATAATCCATAGGTGCAAGGTCGGGACTATATGGCGGATGCGACGTCACTTCCCAGTCACGCTCTCCATTAATTTCGTACGTGCTGCTAAAGTTGTGTGAGCCATCGCTTTATCCTGGTAGAACACGATTCCTTTTCAGTTTGCCGATTCTGGCCTTTTCTCTTTGACTGCTTCCTGAAATTTCCTAAGTTATTGGCAGTAAATATCTGAATTGATCGTATGATTGTTTGATAGCGTATGGTTAAAATACATAGCACCTTTGTAAACCCGTCAAACTGACAACATGATCTTTTCCTGATACAATTTAAGCTTTCGATATGATTTGTACTGATTTATTATGCTTAGACCATGATCTTTTTCTAATAGTGTTACTGTTTGTAGCCAGTCCAGTTTTCATCACCAGTGATAATTGTTTAAAAAAAAAAAGTTCAGTTGCATTACGTTTTAAATGCGTATCGCAAATATTGATTCGATGTGTTAAGTGAATTTCTTTCAACTCATGCGGAACCCAAATAGGCCCGAGACATCGTATGCGATTTTCATTGTTTATGTGATGTACTAACATTTTTAACACTCGCAAAATTTTATTACTATTCGATTCAATTCAAATATGGGTTTAATTTTATCATCGTCAACTTCAAAAGTTCGGCCAGAACTTTGGTCATCTTCAAGTGAAAGATCTTCAGACCGAAATTTTTTCAACCAATTTTGACGCATGCTTTCTATTCAGCAATCAACACCATAAACTGCATATGTCTCTTTTCGAGCTTCAGCTACTTTCTTGCCTTTTACTTTTTACTTTTCTTTTCTGAAAATAAAGAAATAAAATATGTCGAAAACGTTTATTTTTACACCCCATGTTAAAATTGACCGTAAACTAACAGTTGTAAACAAAAAGTACACGGGTTCTTCAGCAACCTAAAACTGTCAGTTACTAAATCTGAAAAGAAAAAAATTATCAGATTAACAGAAGAATAACAAAGCTATCTATTTGTTCAAACCGAAATAGCTAACCTAATACATTTGAATTTTCGTTAGTTAGTTAAAATACGAAAGCAACATTTGAATATTTCTAAAAACAATTAACTAATAGAAAACTTTCAAAATTCGACGGTTTTCCTTTTCAAATCCTAAAAAATATTTCATGTTGTGAAAGTAATTAAATTCAGATTGAAAATCCGTTCTTTTGCATGAAAGTTTAACAATGAAGTTAATTTTTTAACCGTATAAGTTTATTATCTGAACATGTATTTGGCTCGAATATAGTTTATATCGATTATCTTTCTTTCAGATTCCAAAGGCAATCCTCGCTGCATAACAAATAGTAAAGGCAAAAAGCGGCGACCTGGATCCAGGCCTCTTTCCATGGCTCTCAGCACTGACGACCAAGATTTTGTGCATTTCATTAGCAGGTGTCTCGAGTAAGTGTCATTCATTCAAAATAAAAAACTTATATTCACAATTATATATATCCATTATTTTTGTTTCTGATATAAGTTAACAATATAACACTTTCGTTCCTTATGATTTATCATTTTATTTGTGATACCTATATTCTAATAATATAAAGATATTTCTTTGCATTCCTTAATCTAAGAAAACATAGAACTAAATAATTATAATAAAAGAATTGCATAAACTCTGCACTGCGCACAATTAAGGTTATATAGATTACATAATACATTACTGTTGTTCTAATATCTCACAAAATAGAAATATTCCTAATTCCATAAATTCTGGTTATGAGGAAAATAAAGTTGCTAATAAAATTGCTACGAACAACGGAAAAGTAGATCTACTGAGATAAAATTATTATCTAACACGCAAATCGCCAAATTTGGCATGCCCGTTATTCTTATTCCCAATTTAAATTTGAACAGTTTCATAATTTAACAGCACTATCTTTATAAAACAAAAATTCGTTATCTTTCAAATCCGAACATGCGATAAAATGACCGCAAAAAGAAATGATAAATAAATAAAAGCGGTAGATCTTATGTTATGATTACCCTTTTATCATTTTATCATTTTATTACACTTTATTATTAATAAGCAGAAGATGAGTATCCAAATTAAATTATGGCAATGTAATAATGATAAAATACTATTAAAATAAAAATTAAAAATATCTGAAAGTGTTCAGATTTTAAGGATTGCCCAAAAAGCCTCTTTTAAAGTTTAATATGGTTCATCAGTAGTAATTATCGATAGAGATGGCCAGACGGAAAAGCGAAGCATAATAAAAGAATATTAAGTGAATATGAATTTAGACTGACATGGGAACATCATATATCTTTTGTATATTTAAAAAGCAAAATTAATTCAATTAATTTTTTAACTAATTTATTTCAGTTACTGATTAATGATTTGACACTGCTGCTGTTATATACAGTTCATATAATAATCATTTTTAAAGTTTTAGTAAGTTATATTAAATTACAGTGTATTCTATAATTCTCAAAGCAGAATAGGGCCCACCAGCGGCCGAGCGGTAAAGACGCTGAATACTGGTAGTTCGGTCTGAGGTTCGAACCCCGCGAACGGGCTGGCTGCATGGGCGTTTTCGTGGTTTTCCCCATGTGTAACGTGTATACGAGCCAGTTTCCCTTAGAAAGTCCTCCACGAAGGCATCCCTCCCTTTAGGCAGATAGCCCTCGTGTTCTTTGCCGTAATTGAATAATCCAATCCAAAGCAGAATAGCAAGCTTCTCTTCCAAGGAAAAAAAAAAAAAAAAAAAAAACTAATGTGGACACCACATGACTTCCTTGTACGGCCCATTAAATTATACACAATTTTTTTAAAACTTACACATGACTTCACGGCCTATTAAATTATACACATTGCACGGCCTATTAAATTATACACATTTCATTTAAACTTATTTCCTCGAATTTCATTAGAGATAATCTCCCATTCAGTTAACTCAGATCTCACTTAGCGGCGAGGCAAAAATGCATAAGAACTTAAAACATCTTCATTAAAAATTATAAACTACAGAAAAACATAAGAAACAAATGCAAAAACAAGCAATTCGGCCGGCGGGTAGGAAGACAAATTTTTCGGCACACAAAACTGAAAGTTTACTTTTGGTCCCACTCGACAAAATGGCATTAACAAACTGACGTAATTCAATATTATACCAAGAATTTCAAATGTAAACAAATTAGGCTTAGAATCACTTAAATAACTTTTAAATTGTTGATAATTCTACAACTATTTCATGCAGATTAACTAAAGCCATAAAAACCTGTACCGGAACATAATAACAACATAATTTAATCACTTTTAAAGCAAACAAATGCACAATTTACCAACATATAAGAATAACAAATCTGAGCTAACCGGGATGGGCCGCATCAAGCTATGCCGAGCTGTATACATGATTTGTTGACATTCTGTAGTTGACTTTTTGCAACAGAACTGGAAGTAAATGATGGTTTTAATGGAGCAGCGTGATAGTTCCATTTCAGACACTTTGTACTTAATAATGACGATATTTTTTACAAATTTCGTAACACAGTGCTCTAAAAGAAGTCTCTTTCTTTCAAATGCCAAAAATTGTTTGACAAAATTTGATTAAACACGCTAACGCGATCTGTTTGCGTAGACGATGTTTGTGGTGGCGGGAAACTTTCGTTTTATAATACGTTTGGAGCGGCCGATAGTAACCAAAAATGGAGATGCACAACTACATGTTATAAAGTCCCATACACAAAATTTCAACATTCTGAGGCTACTTATTTTGCGAGACGCGTACGTACGTTTGTAAAGCACAAAAAAAATCTCTTTTGAATCCATTTTAAATCCAGTTTACAATCCATCTCGGAAAAATGAGTCCTTTACTATGTTCGTACCTACAGGCAGGTGTCGCGTAAAAACATCGTTCAAATGGATTCGACAACAGTCAAAATGGATATTTTCGTTAAAATATGATATCCGAAATTTTTCGCAATCGCAGTACTTCCTTTACTGCGTAGAAGGAAGTAAAACCTATCCCGTGAAATTAGATTTTTCCACGATGGAAACAAACTAATTTTTTAATTAAGCATTTTATTCACATAGTCGATTAAGAAGATACGCAATTTAATTGCGTTAATTTGGAGTTATCATTGAAGTTCAACTAAATATAAGTTTTGATAAAATCTTTAAGATTTCTTTGTGTTCCTCTCTTTATTCCAGCTCCTTACAGGAAAAGAAATGCTTTAAAATATAAGAGCATGTATTTATAGTTTTTACAAGTCTATAGTTTAAAACGTATGACCCTATAATTTGTAAAACACATAATAAATTGAAAGAATTAAAGAATGTACAAAAAGGGGAAATATATTTTATGTTTTAAATAATTTTAAATAAAAAACTGTATTGAATTATTAGAAGTTACTTGACGATGTACTTTATGTAACTCCCATCAGTGATTTATGATGGTGTACCCAAAAAAGGTTGCAAGGATAATACAAAAATATTTATTAACAATAGGCAGAAAATAAAAAAGGGAATTAAGAAGCATACTTGCCTGTCATTTTTCCATATAATAACTAAATCTGTTTATGCATTTGTCAGAAAGCAGGACCAACGTGTTTAACACCGGATTAATAGAAATCACGTCTCTGCCCACTGAGCCAGTTCTTGGTGGTTGTTTTCGCATCATTGTCTGAAAAGAGCCTCATTCCAGAAAAATGTCCTTCAGTTTCGGACAAAGAAAATAGGCACTGGTTTCTAAACTTGGGCTATATGGGAGGTGACATCAGACTTCCCACTTAAACTTTTGCAACAATTCTTGAGTTTGGTGAACAATATGGGGCGGTCATTGCCATGCAGGAGGATGACACCATCACTCAACATGCCAAGGCGCTTCCGTCGGATGGCTTCACGTAACCTTCTCTAAATGGCACAATAACGATCGACAGTAATGGTATGGTCACATTCCAGATACTCGATCAGGATAACGAATCACAGCTCTCTTCTCCAAGCGAGACCACTTTTCTAAACATAACATTCATCATACTATTATAACATTCATAACATCATACTATATAAAACATTCATCATACTATTTATATTATATCATTGCTATTTCAATTGCTCTGATGTGTCTACGAACTTACTCTACCTAACCGCACAACCACTGCTAGACAACTAGTGTCGTCTACCAACACTGTCCATAATATTCCACAGTAGTCCCTCCACAATAATTACTCATAATTCTCTGCTGTTTAGCTAAGTGATGATACATTATACTTAACAGTTTGATGATTGATTATGATTGCTACTGATCTAAAATTAATGATAATATATTTCTTATTGTTTTATGCCATAATTAATGCAAAGATGCTTTTTAAAGAAAACTTTTATTTTTTAAATACTTCATCAAACTCAGGTTCGGTTTCTATTTAGCGTTCTAATTTATTGTTGCTTTCTTTTTGTTTTATTATACTGCAGCTGGAACAGTTCTTTGCGAATGAGTCCAGACGAAGCTCTTCAACACGCTTGGCTATCATCGTGTTCCTCCCAAAGGCTCTCTTCTCAACCCCTCAGAGAAATAGAAACTGGTGAGAGAACATTTCTTCTCTCGAAAGAATTGCTGAATTTACATGTCATCGGACGAACCACTTCCTATTGGTTAAAAAAGTATAACTATCGTACTTGAAGTCTTATTTGTCCGAGGTATGGGATCTTCACTCATATCGACGTGTTCTCCACAGATGTTCTACCGTGACTCACTAACCCGCTTGAAGAATTTATTAATACACTTGCATACTAATCTATTTTTTTTTCATCTTTACGTGCATGTTATTCTTTTCTATCAATTACTAAAACCCTGCTAAAGTTTCAAAAACAAAAAACTCTAACATAAAAAAGTTGATTCTAATAAAGTAATGTTATTTTTTAGTACGCTGAGACCGTTGTGGTGCTGTAAAATAATATTAGTATACAGCGCTTTTAATTGGTTATTTGTTAGAATTAACGGATTAAAAAAGGACAAGGAATATAACAATCATAGAGTAATCTATGAGTGTTATATTGAAAGTAATGCAAACGTTGGGCTAACTTGTTTATTAACTGACATAAATCGTCCAAATTCTACATGTTATTAGAAGGTCTCTTGTTCTGTTCAAATATGGAATATTTTTCTCATTGCAGGTAAATAATAAATAATGGATACAAAGTACAAATAACTCTCCATCAATGAGTTCCTTACAGATGTTGATGTCCGACTTTTTCAAAAGACTGTAAGATGTTTAAAGAGACGTTATTATTGACAACAACAATGTGCAGAAATAGTGAAAACGTTTAAAAGAATTTGAGATACGTTATTTCAGTTTTACGATAGAGGATGAAATGTGGGCGTAATATTATTATGTAGAGACGAAGAATCGTTTCAAGGAATTGTATGATCTCTCTTCTACAAATCCTAAAATTTTCAAAAAACAATATTCAACATGAAAATCCATAGTTACTGTTTTGGGGAATGACTAGGTATCTTTCGCCTCTTTTTTCCCAAGGCTGAGCCTATACCAGCAAGCAGTACATTCAGGCGCTCTTAAAATTTCAAAAATCCATTGGGAAGAAAACAGACCAAATTTGTAGCTAAAGGTGATTCACTTTTACTATGACAATACAGGTCCTAACAAACTTTAGCGCATTTTTCTAATAGCAGTAATTCAGGCGATCAATAAATTGGACCTGATATTGCACCTCCAGACTTCTACTTCGTCATTAAAAAAAGTATTTCCGAGAACTAAGATTTGCTACTTAAGCGAAGTGGTTGTAAAAAACTGGGTAGCACATTATACGCCTGAAATGTTTCGAAAAAGATTCGAGAATTGTTTTTTTTTTTTTTTTTTTTTTTTTTTTTTTTTCGAATGGCACAGATGCATTTAATGTAATAGAGAGTATATTCAGTAATACCTTCTACAGAGGATTAGTCACTCTTACAACATGTAGACTTAAGACAATCTGTGTTAGTTACTAAAGGACATTTTCTGTTTTCGTATGACACTCATATTATTATTTATATCAGAAGAACAAAAACTGAACTATTTATTGTTTTAATGACATAATAAGATATAAATAATTGCATTTGTTTCTAAATTTTAACAAAGTAATAGGCTGGATTCCAGATATGTTTTAGGATAAGAAACAAATTTAAGTGGAAGTGCAGCAGATGGTACTACTAATAGGAGATTTTTTTTCACTGACCGTGTTTTAAGTTTTCCCATAGAAAGAAGCTGTGATTTATTTTTTAATAATCTTGTTGAATTGCTATAGACGTTTAATTATCTGTTCTTTAAACCTAATGATGAAATTAAATGCTCGGTATAATTTAAATGTTTCTATTAAAACAGATTAGATTAATAAACTTAAATGACATTTTTTATTTAATTTCGAAAACATGTTCAAAACATGTTTCGAAAACATGTGACGAATCTTCCCTCTGATTTTCACAGCATTTACTTAAAATATTTAAGTAAGTAATTTGTTTATATTTACAAAAAAATAGGAAATTTTCTATTTTGTTCGCAGTCCATATTAAATTTTTGTGTAACTGATGTCAGTTAAATTTTTGAAAGCAAAATAATAAATAACTATCTGATAAACTATTTTCGTGTTAATCAGTGACCAATGAGATTCGAGGTGTTCTATATATATTAAACTAAATCTATACATTTCTTTACTAACAAAATTAAACGTTTTGTATAAAATAATGTTTACAAACTTCTCAAATCTCAGTCACCCTTTGCCGCTGAAAAGTTTCTCTTTTTCAATGAACACATTTAGTTTAATAATAAAGCATATATTCATGCAAATACTACATTATTTTGTAAGATAAAAAAACGAAAGTAGAAATAAATGATAGTTCAATGAATAGAAAACATAGAAATATAAACTCGTTCAATAAATAACGCGCACAGTTTAAGGATATTTAGTTTAAAGAAGTTTTATTTGGAAAAATCAATAAAAATCTGTGACTATACGCATAAAATCTTATACTTAATGTTCTTACAATTGACAGAAGACCATACATTTAGATGAAGGTAAAATCTTGTTATGCGATTTGTTTTACATTCATTTCACTAATACAATTTTAATAAGATTTCACACAACATCAAATTTTTATTTTATGGTAAGTTTGGCACCCAAAATTAGACGAAAAATTTCATCTCTGGAAATGATCTCTTTCCTTTTAGTATCCACTACCTGGTAAAAAAATTTCATAACATATCATCTAAACTTTTCATTAGGTATTTCTTAAATTATTAATATTTTATGAGATAAATATGTAACAAATGTAAATATTCTGGCTTTATTTGAGGATAGCTGAAGATTCTAAATTTCCCTTATTAGAATCTTCAATTTTCATGCCTTCCTATTTTTTTAATTTAGTGACTAAAATCGGCAAAAAAAAGCATGTATAACAAACAAGATGTAAACAGAGTTCAGGAATTTAAATCAGTGTATTATTTAATGCCTTTTTATTGATAAGAAAATATTGAATCGATAATGTAATAATAGAAAAACAGAACGGTCATTGTTGAAAATTATAACCTCTTGTATAAGCCAAGCCTGGTTAATGGTTTGCTGCAAAAAAGCTAGAATCAGAAAACTCATCGCCTTTACCTGTTGTTTACCCATTAATCAAAAAATAAAGCAAACAAAATGAAGTACAAAAATTAAAATATAACTTAGTTAACTACAAATATTGCTGCTTGTAATGCTTCATAAATTTTTGTAGTGCACCATAAAACTGCTCATAGAAGACACTGAAAAATCCATAATTATATAAAAGGAGTTTTAGTTTAAACAAAATAAGTGTAACTTATAACCAAATAAGTTTTCCAAGAGAGCTGAGACAGTTCTGTTGTCTCTCACTATTACTAAATATCAAGTAGTTTTCACTTATAAATTAAGTCAATCAGGCTGCACTAACGAGTCAGTGTTTCTCTTTTTTTATAGCATCTAATTTTGGATAAAGAATCCGCATTCTCAAGTAAACGCCTGTGTATATAAGAAATTGTTTTTAAAAAGTTTACTAACTTAAAATAAACATTACAAAATAACAATTTCCGATTTCATAAAATAATTTTTAAGAAATGAAAACATGGTGTAGCATTTTTGACATGATTACACGAAACTAATATAAATGCAATTGATGAGAAGGAAATCTCCTAGAAGATTGCGTTATTTTTCTGGCTAAAGAGACATTTTCTGCTTTTCGGAATTTTATTCTCAATTTAGATTATTGAGTTATCTTTATTTTATTACTTTTTTTAATTTATTTTTCCCTTTACTTATTTTCTTGTATGTTTATTATTTTTATTTCTTTTTTTAATAATTTTTTCCTCCATTTGCAGTACTATAGTGCATTTATTTATTTATTTTGCTAGTGCTGTAACTTACTTGTGTAAGCCTCGTGGTATACTTTGTAGAACACGTTAGAGTTAAGAAAAAGTCTAATGCCCTTCTTTTTTATCGCCTATTTTTATTTTAACTTTTTTTAAAGTGATAAATATTTTCTCTTAACGTATATAAAGAAGCTACGTAATCATGTCGTTTATTATTTTTTCCGATGTCTTCTTCTTTCTTCAGATACGTTTCAAATATTTTTTACATTTAATTTTCAATAAAACACAATCTTAAAAAAATTTTATTAAAGATGAAATCATTTTACGTTTGTAGTACGCCAAACATCTTTCTTAAAGTCATAGTATCTATGTCATAGTATACTCCTTGTATTTGCATGTTAATCAAAACTCTTTATAATTATTGAAATTTCATAAGTAACCATCTTGTTACTATAATTATATTCAAAATTAAACATATTTTACCAGATTTTAACTAACATACTTACGGCTATTCGTAAATATAAAGAGTAACAAAAGAAGGTCTGCTAGATGCTAAGTCGTTTCTTAATTTAAATTATTGCTGCTTCTTTAAATTTAAACCGATTTTCTTGAAGCTATTATACACTTTTTCTTTGCACGTTTGATTGATATAATATGAAAACTTCTCAGAAACTCAACCAATGTAGGCACATTTCCTTAATGAATTGGTACGCTTGTTGCTGTCGATCGTAAGGCTCTTTGAGGACATTATCGAGGATATTGGAAATTGTTGCTTCCAATCCATAAAAGTTGTATATTTTCTTCTGGCATATATCCTTTGGCTTTGCTGCCAGTACTCCTCTCAGAGATAAAAAAAATCCCACAGAATGCTGTGGATGAACCAATCGTATGAGCCAGTTTCATTGACTTGGATCCCGCAGCTGAAAGATACATGCAAAATTTGCGAAGATGGTATCCTAGTTTTTGCGAATGTTCTATGCAATTACCTGCTTGGTCGTTCCCTAGTTTGAAGGAAGGGTAGATGTGACGCTCATAAATGACCTATTCTGCAATCCAGGTTTGTCAAAGAAGAGATATACTAAAAACACTAAGCATTTTGGTGAATTGGAAGCATAAATTTCCAACAAGTTCATTGATATTCCACAAAGGTTCAAGTGTAAATTTTAAACGATGTACCATTTTTTTTTCAAAGAAAGATATAAAAAATATTGAAGGGCATATTAAGTTTTAAAATTATGGGATAACGTATGCTCAGAGAATGATTGTATATAGCAACTCTAGTTTCAATGAAACAAAGTAGCTAATAAAGAAGTTTCTTTCATTTCAAAATGAGGAAGCTTTATTATCCCTGTTGTATATATTTCATTGAAAAATTTAATAATTATGAAGCTGGAAAGTGGCGATTAATATTCCATGCAAAGGTATTTTTGGCAATTCTTACTTGAATTGTGCTTGCAGAGGCCGCTCGCAGTCATCAGTCCGAAGAAAAGGCCGTGGAAAATCAGCTGGGCAATCGAAGGGGTCAACTGGAAGAGCGTAAGATGATTCTTTCTTCCTGCACCTTCAAACCCTTCAATTGCACTTCAAAATAAAACATTCGCTATCAAAGCCACGTTATTTTCTTTTAAGCTTTATCTCTTATCGTGATCTTTGAATGCATCTCGGCAATTCTGTATTAAAACTTTTTTGTTCGATCATTTTATCAACCTAATTCTGATAAATAACTCCGATTTCAATTACGTGATTATATTACATCTGCAGCATGTTTTGTTTCGCTGTTATAGAAGGCATTTTTTATATATTTTTTTATACAGTAAAAGCTGATAAATCCAGTTATTGCTTTGACTAGCTGCGACACTTTTATGTTCACTGAACCTTTAACTTCTTTTAATTGAAATCCATTTGAAAAACACTGGTTCAAGGAAATATTACTAGATATAAATAATATAATCTGATTGGATATAAACATTATAAACAGGTAATATATTTGTTTAGTTTTTGTATAATTTCTTTATCAGTTGTTAATTTCTTATCGCATGATTTTACGTTCCGGGATTCCTTTGGCAAATTAGAACAATCTTATAAACTATTATTTTTTATGGAAGTTAAAATACTAACCCGTAGCACGCTTTATTAATAAATTTTTCTATTAAGAATCTGAATTTTATTTCTCAATCCCGTCATAATCGAAGCAGTGTGTAAAGTAGTGAACAAGAATGACACTAAGGTTGCAAACGATTGCTGCCTTTCTATATCTACATTCAAAACCATTTATTCATCACATGAATAATTGCAAAGCTATTTGTTGTTTCGAATTTTTATAAAATTTATAGAATAATATCTATTTCCTACGGACCGTGAAAGAGTGTTGAAAAAATTCAATCAACTTGGAATAAAATTTTTTAGATAACATAAATAAAACAACAACAAAAAATGTGTATGTATCGATTTCCAAAAACAATGCTAAGAGGGGAGGGAACGAATCAATATATTAAAAATTTATTTGCATTAAAAAATTTAAACATAGTGCAATGTTATATTTAATGATGCATTAACGCATTTTCGGCTTTATTAACTATTAACAAAATTCTGCAGTGTGATTTTTAAAATTTTACAAATTGGATTTACTTGTATTTGCTGAGAACTGTAGTTTTAGTCTAATTTTATTTTATTTAATTCCTTTGTTTCTTTGTTCCGTACTTGTATAACTCTCCTAACATAGTTTAAATGAATTTTAGATCAGCGATTGCTTATAAATATTTTTATAACTTCATAATTTAACTTACATTTACCCTTATTGTTATTAGGTTCATGTTTGCTATGATATATTTGCTTTTTGTAGTGAAAATGTTTTAACAATATATTTTCTAAGCTTATTATTAGTGTTGTCTTCTTAATTATTAATGCACTTCTTATTTTTCTAGCAGCTCTTTTTCCACGTGTCCCACTCATGCTGGGCCTTCAGTAATAAATTTTTGGTATAATTTGAAATATTTAGATTTCAGCAACTTTCTTCTTTTAAATTTCGAGCTGATTATCTGTACATTGCTTTTCACATAACTGTACAGAATGCGAGTATTTTTATGCAGTCGAGCCCCGCTATAACGAACTTTGAAAGACTGGAAATTTGGTTCACTTATCCAGTTGGATAAGAAAATAGATTATCTCACAATTGTATAAATACAGTGTTTTATATTCGTACAAAACTGCATGCCAAAAGAATTAATTAATTAACCTTTAATTTTTACTTAAAATGTGTGTAGCTGCAAAGGAAAAGTTCAATACCTTTTGTAAAGAGTATAGTATGGTCTTTCAAAAGATCTAAAACAAATGCTAAACTCACATTTGCAGTAGCATTTACACTTAAAAAAAAAAAGCTGAGAATAGCCCATTTTCATTCCTAACTGGACTGTAGAGTCATTAGCTTATATCCATGCAGGAACGTGAAAAATGTGGAGTGCTATCTCACCAGGATTCGAACTCAGGACCTCCCGAATACGTGGGGAGCATGCTTCCATTTACAACACAAAGGCATCCGTAAAGGAGGGAGAAAATATCTTATAAAGCTAATCAACTGTATAACCTAACGCATAAGATTCACTACTTCTTCTTTCCCTGAATAGTGGAAATTTCAAAATTTCCATCATAGATTTTGTCTTGGACAAAACTCTGTCCGATAACTCATTCAAAAAATTTGAATGGAATTGAAGAAGCCACAACTTTCGTTCTTTGGTTTAATGGTCATTTACACCATACACAAAAAACGCCATATGGTGTCCTAAGATTTTTTCTTTTGTGTCTTCGTTGGGTATCACACCTGTTTCGTATAGTCTTTATTTATACACAGATAAAATTGGGGTTGAACAGCAAAAGAAAAGTCATTCGCATTCCATCTGCAAAGGAAATTCCATATAAAGGAAAGTTATGAATTCCACGTAAAGTAAGTTTCGTCTGCAAAAGAAAGGTGATGGAAGGATTTCAGGGATTAGTAATTTTTTTCGTTAAACATGCTGAAATTCTGAAAACAAAAATACAGTACATAAAATACATTATGTTTCAGTCGAAGACATACATACAGTTAGTTATATCCGATTTTCATAGCTTTGGAATTTCATTAGTATAAAATAACATTAAGTATATAGTAAATTCAACTGGATCAAACGGTCAAACGGTTCTTTCGTTAAACCCAGGAGGTTTCATTTTAGCGGAGTTTGACTGTAGTGACATTTGAGGATTTTATTCTTATGTTTCTGAATTTTAACACGTCCTTAAAATCCAGTTTATATGCATTTTCTATTAACATGTATTAAACAATCATAGATTTCGAAGGAGAAAATGATCCTCATTGCTGTATTACAATAAATTGTAATGAATTAAAGTGTGAATTAACGATGAAACCTTGAACGTTAAGTTACCTGATCACTTATATTCTGTCTGTAATTATCATGTGAGGGAAAAAAACATAATAATATATTAAAAAACTATGTCCTTTCATATTTGCATTTTTTATTTTGAAATGCTTGGATTAAAAATAATCTTTAAACTCCAAGGTGTTTTAGACTAGTCCAAGTTCTAGGTTATACGTTGTGCAATTAACTGTAAAGACTATCCTAATTTTTATGTAAAATTGGTTTACAGAGCTGTTGGCACGGAAGTAATAATTTGACAGCCTGTTATGTATGAGTCTGAGAACAGAAAACAGTAGCAGATATTAATAAAGGCTTTATTTCAGTATCTAACAATGAGCAGTTTCTATGATATTTCCGTATTTAAATTTTCTGTATTCATATAAAGATTTAATGGGTAAAAATTGGACAACCAGTAATCTTACTTTACTTGAAGCCCATAACAGTTTTTAATAAAAAAAAAACTAATAGATTTTGGCCAAAATTGATAAAAGGCAAGGGATACTTTATTTGAAGCTCTGAACAGATTTTTCGCGAAAAAATATATTATATCATGCAAAACTTCTTAAATTTGGTATTTAAAACAAGGTATGCATATGCAACCATGGTTGAGAAGAACGACATGTTATATTTTAACTACATATGATAAATATGAAATGGTACTTTACTTGGAATTCTTAACAGATTTTCGTGGAAAAATATCGAGTAACTAATAATAATAGCTTTATCTAAAATAATGCAGCACATTTTAAGGTTATTTATAGACATGATAGTTATTTATATCAAGCCATAGAAAAGGATGAATTTTTATTAAAGCGTTTCATATGTTGAACTTCAAAACACTTGTAATGCAAGCATGTAACCCAAAAAAATGCTCTTGTTAATCTCGTGCACCGATGTTGATGACGAGGCACAAGAGCGAACAGCAAATACGAAAACACTCATTGCTTTACTTCGTACTGATCTCGGATCGCACGGTAGTCACTATTTAAATGTAATTTCAAAAACTAATAAGCATTGTTTACTAATACCTAAATATCGAGGATACAGGCAAAAATCAAAATGAATTTAAGTTTGATGGTACTACAACATGGAAGAAACTTAAAGTCTGGTATTAGTTTCAACGTATTTATTTTAAATATATTATAAACATTTAAATTTCTTTAATTAAAAGAATTAAGGTTTAAGGAATTAAGATTTAATTAAAAATCAATTATATTATATGTTATTTAACTGTCCAATAAAATACGATTTTTAATAAAAAGAAATAAAGGCGCAAACATTTGATGACCTATAAAACATTTGATACCTAATAAAATATAAAATTTTGTATTATAGACCTTTTTATTTATTCATTTATTGGAATTGCAAATTATGTTACGTCGAACAAACACACCGCATCGATTATTAACGAGAAAATTTAAGGCTTGGAAGAATATTACCAATGAAAGTAAGCAGTACTAATATTACTAAATACTTGCGAATCCTTGTGATATGTGTCTTAGTGTATGAAAACTTTCAATCTATGATGTACACCTGTTTGAAACGAATCTGGGTTAAAATTCCATAATTTAAAGGGGAAAATGATAATAATTTTACATTTCAAAAACTTTCTCATAATTCATTCGTTATCTTTTCCTTTATAGGATAACATCCGCCAAGCGATTTTCTGTATAAGTGTGTGTGTACCAAATTAATACTTCCAGTAAAAAAAACATACTTTGATTCTAATTTATGTAAATTAACGTGAAACCGCCAGAATAAAGATAAATGTTCATTTTAATAGATCGTAGCCGATACTGTTGCTTATTGGTTACATTAAATGGGTCATTCTTATCTCTCTTACCAATGTTCTTTTTTACAAGATCAATATTATCTGTAAAAGTTTTTAAAGTATTTCATTTTATGTTAGTTCTTTGTTGATTAAAGTTAGCTGAATAAAAAACTTTTTTTTTTTTTTTTTTTTTTTTTTTTTTTTTCCGTTTAGGAAATGTTTACTGCCAATTTATTCTATAAAGGAAAAGAGTTTTTATTCCTGATGTATATCTCTCAACTCTGGGTTTAAACTCATATGATTCACATTGCACTATAACCACTGATATGTAAATATATCATGAATGCATGATATTCAATTAAGTTTGCAATGTTTTTAAAAGTTTCGTTGTCATGAATTTAAAAACGTCTGTATGCAAGTAGTAAATTCATCTTGAAGTGTTTAATTCCCGTAAAAAAACCTATTGATTTATTTTACCTCTATATGAGCGAGCTTCTAATTGCTTTTAAGTTCTTTAGTATTAATTATTGATTTTCATTCTTTTTTATTCCAGTTTTGCATGAGGCCACTGGTTGCCCTGGAGAATACGACGATCCTTTGGAAGACTCCGGCACCTTCCTTCCCTCTATCCTCTGAGAGGACAATTTGCTCGTGTTTTAGACGACGCCTTCTATTCAAGGATCTCAATTTTTACAGAAACTAGTCGATTTATGCGATGGACAATCCACGTGACAAAACCTGCACCTGTGGGAGAAACTGTGCATTTTGTTTACTTTCTAGTTCTGCCCCTTTCTTTCAGCAACTTTCTAATTTGTGTCGTGTAACTTCAATTTCCCGCACCCGGCAATCTTTCCTCATTGTCTGTGTGCCAGCTCAAGACAAAAATATAGGACAGTCTTTTGTGTCGAGGCTTAATGTTGGCTTCTCCAGGCTTGTTTCAAGAGCCATACGTTTTATTTGTGTTGATGTATCTGGGCTTGTCGATTTTCGTAGTTAGAAGAAAAGTATGCGTATATGTTTTTATATGTATGTATAACATCATTTCACTGTCATTGAAAAATCTTTATAGACGAATTTTCTCCCTTTATCATATCACGTCATTTTAACAACTGATGCCATTTTGAAGGTGTTAACCTTCGCGTTTCGATATTCGATGTTCTTTTCTAAATGCAGCAATGAAAACACGGTGGTAAGAATATTCCTTCTCATAGATGGAAATACTCTGCTTTAAATAATTTTGTCACACGTCCAAATCGTTTAACACTCTTTCACTTGTCTCTGAATATTTCATGTTTGATTTACCTCTGTTTAAAATAAATATTTTTGGATTTCTTATCCGTAGAAAACAATAAATTTATTCTCTAGCAATTAATATCGAGTCATTAAAAATCTAAAATTCAATAGTTTAATCCCAGATTTTTTTATTGAACCATTTCTGGGATTAACTAAGTCTTTATTTTTCTTCCCAATATTAAAAATTTTTCCTTGAAAGAATTTAACGTTAATCATGATAATTCTATGCTACTGTAAAGAACAGCTATGACTTTATAATAAAAAGGATACTTACATAAGAGAAATAAGTAAAATTGTTTCATATAATTTTTGTGAAACTATGCCATTTTTTAACGATGAGAAACTTAATGCTTTCTAAAACTGAATTTTCTACTTGAAAGAGAATATACTAAACTAAGATAAGGTTTGTATAACGCAAATTTGCTAACATATGCAAAGGGCTTTTATAAAATTTTCTCATAGCTATTTTTATCTACTTCATCAATATATGCGAAAACTTCCTCAAATGAAGTATAGATTTTATAGGGTACTTAAATTAATTTATAATGTCCCTTTCATTGATGCATTTTTTCTGCCTTAAATTACTGTAATGTTGAAGGGTGCTTACAATATAGAAAGCATAGATTTTATAGGGTATCTGCTGACAGTCCTGGTGAATTCAAGAATTCAAGACCTGGTGAATTCAAGAAAGACGAAAAAGCAGCAATCCTGAAGAATTATTAACCAGTTTTTTTTTACGGTTTTTAAACATTCTTTAAAATTACGGCTGAAGAAAGAAAATATATTTTCATATTTCAAAACTTTTATTAACGATACTCATTTTTTTCCCTAAAAAAATATGTAAGACAAAGAGCATTAAATGAAGCTTAAAAAATGAAAATTATGTGCTAGCAAAATAACTAGATTTAAAAGTGATAAGTAAAATGCAAATATCTATTTTATTAAAAAAATTGTAAACTTTTGTGCTTAATACAAATCCTGAAAACAGAATTCACAAAATATGTATTCTTTACCTAAAGTATACCTCACATGCCTTTTGTTGTGAAATCTCTTTCTACCAACACAGTTCTATCAATTTTCATCCCACATCCCTACCACCGCAACGTCACGTGGATAAAATATTCCCTGATGGTGATCCTGCACGTCTTTTTCCAACTCTTTAAGAACAGCAGGTGGACTCTGCAGAAAAAAAAATATACCCGTTACATCAGAGCTGAATATTGTGATCGATTTAAGGTAGTTTCTGGGCTCGTGTTTTTCTGTGTGAAATGCATTCGTAAATTATACGTGTAATATATATATTTCAACGAGCGGTGCTGTAAAGAAATATATCTCCCAAATAAAGTAGTTTTTAAAATATATTGTCTTGAACTTTTTTGTGTTTTTATCAATGCTCAGAAATACTGCTGCTCATCATTTGAAATTCTCCGCTTTCAGATTCTTGACAAAGGAATAAATAAAGGAAAACTGAATACGTATTCTAAGGCCTTGGGATAAAAACAAACTTGGAAATGTTGTTTTTTTTTTGTTTTGTTTATTTAGTGCTACTTTCAAGAGTTTGTGGTTCTCATTTATAGGATAAATTTTGGATCCCTTTAGGATAAATCATTGAAGTTGAAACAATTCAGTATAAATATAACAAAAAAAAGTGAAATTTCATTTAAATCAAATTGTGAGTCGAATTATAAAAATATACAGATATGTTTTTAAATGAAATTTTAAAACTTTAAATGACATCTGATATTTGGAGAGATTACCATTAAATGTTCAAAATGTTAAAAAAATGTTTCATAAATTAAAGATATAAAATTCATAAGATTAAAAAGAAGTTGAAATCTAATCTTAATATGCAGATTTCATTTTAATACTTGAAACAGTTTTAAGCCTAAATAGTTACGATGGGCTTAATAGTTTAAGAATTAGAACACCAAAAATTAAAGAAGTAGAATTTAAAATAAGCCGTTCAAAATGGCAAAGCTAAATGGTAAAAGAAAAAATACTCGATTGATATTATTTCCTCTTAAATCCACATGGAGACTTAAACATTAAAAAAAAAAAAAACTAAATTTTAAGACGTAGCTATGCATTTATTTTATTGGATTACTTGCACATGAGACTTAGAACAAATAATTCCCTCAAGTCCCAATATTTTATTTTATTTGTTTACCTTTTACTAGCCCAAAAGCATCGTTAGCCTAGATGGCCTGTTAGTTTCGAAATGGCATTTTGTATTGGTTTACTATAAACGGAATTTCACTTTTGAAATTGTTGCCATCAAATATTATCGTTCTGTATTATATTTAAAGAAATTAAACAATAAAGAATCTGCATGAATGTATGCATGTTTCTCGCACTGTTAAAAGAGCCACCAACTTTTGAATAACGTAGTCCTCCACCCAAATATGCGTACCTGAAAGTCCTAATTTTTAATTTCTAATTAGTTTTACTATCTATTTTATACCTTTAAAAGCTTTAAAGATATTTTAATTAATAAACTCAATGATTTCAAAGCGAGGAGTGGAGAAACAGAATAAAACATTTTTACCTACAGCGCGCGAAAAATTCTAAAGATATGCCGTTTCGTTTTTAAATATTTTGTGATTTTGCTTTTGAATTGAATTTTATTTAACGTAAGTGCGAAGAACATGATATTTAATACATAAAGTTAACACGCGAAATTTTAATAATAAAAGAAAAAATTGTAAAGCCATCTTAGTAAGAAAACGAGCCCACCAGCGGCCGAGCGGTAAAGACGCTGAACACTGGTAGTTCGGTCCGAGGTTCGAATCCCGCGAACGGGCTGGCTGCATGGGCGTTTTCGTGGTTTTCCCCATGTGTAACGTGTATACGAGCCAGTTTCCCTTAGAAAGTCCTCCACGAAAGGCATCCCTCCCTTTAGGCAGATAGCCCTCGTGTGCTTTGCTATAACTGAATAATCCAATCCAAATCTTAGTAAGAAAACTGATCATTTAATACTATTATGAATTGAGAAAAGACTGGGGGGAAGCAGAAAAATGTATGCCAACACACTGCATCATGAATTCTAAACATATGCTGATGTACTGCTTTAAAATTTTTGGTAAATTTGCTATTGAATTGCATATGGCGTAAGAATGAAAAAAAATTATATTCAATAATAAAGCTATAACACAAAAAAAGTAACAGGAGTGACTGTAATAGGAGACTGGTAGAATGCGAGATCAGCGAGAGCGTAAAACACTTTAAGAAACCCTTTTCAGAGATCTTTAAAATCTGAAAACTTCCAGATATTTTTTAGTTAATTTTTTATTTCTATTTATTTATTTATTTTAATTTTTATCTAGAATACGGAATCCATCTACTGAAAACAATAAGCATGTTTTTAAAAAGTTTAACAAAAAAATTAACTTTTAACATTTTTAATTTAAATCTGTAAGGAAAAAAATTGTAAAATTGTTCTAATTGTTCCATACAAAATATATATATAATATATATTTATTAACATAAGAAAAATGTGTATATTAATATTTTGTTAGTTAAATTACATATTATATCCTTATTTGATATAAAACATGAATACGTCTTAACTGTAAATAATAAAGACTGTTTATAAAAAATACATTTACATGTAATACATTTAAAAGTTTTGTCTTTTATTGTTGATAACTTGAGCATGTTGCGAAAGTGAGTGAATCTATAACCATCTTGAATGCACAGAAATCGAGAATAGTATCTACGATTTGAGAAGTTTCTTTACTAGTCGGAATGTGAAGCTCGTCTTCTGAATTTCAAGAATATATATTCAAGACTGCACTATGCTTAAAGCTTTTCTCTGTTTGTTATTTCCAAAGCAACTTGTCAAGTATTGTTCCAATTTCAAATCTTCACTTTCTAAATTAATGCCAGCTATTCCTGCTCTGATATTATTTCGAGCTGTATTTCTCCATAATAAAATATAAAATTCCAAACAAAATTCCAATTATCCGCAATGCCGATTTATTCAAAATTTAAAATAAGGAATTTTATTCGGAGATAAGGTATATAAGAGTTCTCGTCGTTGTGTTCTGTAAAAAACTGTTTGTGGGAGCTGATCTTAAGACCTGTTTTATTAGTAGAAATTATATGAGATATTGAAGTTGTCCTGTTTAGATGAAATTCATACCTAGTGAACAAGAATCAATAAATTTATTTTATATACTTGAAAGTTTTAATACATTAATATGTTTTGGGGTCTGTTGAAATGATCGATCATTTTTAGTGTTGTTAATGGCCATGATGCAATAATTGCTCATCAGTAAGACTATCTATTCGTATTGATTATATTTCGCCATAGGCAAAACAAACCCAACAAGCCTAATCGGCCCACGCCAAGCCTAATCGGCGCCGTCGTGCAAATGTCTAGCGAGCGCCTTTAGGCAGTGACGATATTAGAGGGAAACTGCTTATTGTTAACACTTAGAGTGAAGTATTATTAACATAACAGTTAAAAAAAAATTACATTTTCTCTTAATTTTTCTAAATGTGCAAACATTTTGTGCTTTCTTAAAACCCACCCTCAAACATATTTTTGAGGAATTATACATTATAAAAAAATAAGAAATAATATACTAAACGCATTTGATAGCAAATATAGTGCTTAACACTATTTATTTTCTTAAAATTAAAAACAAATTAATTTAAATACCTAATAAGTTTACACCGAGTAAATTGTTTTTCGCAGCGACATTTACGACAAGGTTCGAAATGTGATTACAACAGGGCACAAAAAATTCTCTAGGGTTGATGTCCAAAATTCTTTTCTGCCCACCTCTGTTGTTGTTGACAAACGATATAGAGTTTCAACAGGTGATGCTACATATTGTTGCGTGCGTACGGGTTCGTTATGAAATGAATGCACAAGTCCGATGAACAATGAACAAAAATTTATTATTATCACAACAAAAATGCTTAAATTTTCTCAAATTATCATGCAGTATTACAATATCTCACAGTAGTTATCTTTTTACTACTCAAATGTCCAATAGAACGTAATTCAAAACAGCTAAAGAACGCTAATCCGCGAATTCGCTACAATCAACAACAGTAGTTTTCTAAACAACAACAAACTAAACAACTGCTACAAACTGAGATGTTTTCCTCCTTTTATAAGATTTTAAAATCACGCGCTAGAATTTTCCAGTACTTTCTCGAAATCAAAAAGAGATATTTATTTATTTAACGCACGCGCTCTTGTATTTTTAATTTTTCCGGCTTAGCTTTCTTTTAATATTCGTCACGCGCTGCACTGCGCGAGAAATAAACCATTTAATTTATAATTGAACTAACATTAGCTTTTTAAATACCAAATTCGTAACACTGCCCCCTTCCCAAGGACTGCACGTCCCGGGCAGTACAATCCCTGGACAGGAAGCTAAACTTACAACTGTGGCATAAATGCAACTGAGGCATAAACATTACATTACAATATCAAACAATATAAACAATAAATACAATAACTAACTTAAACAAATCAAATGCTATTAAATACTAAATACAAAACAAATAATAAATACAAATCATATAACTAAATACAAATCAAATACTGAATGCAAATCAAATACTAAATACAAATCAAATCAAATACACATTTATAAACAAAAAGGACCATGGTCTGATACTATTTACAATTATTTACATTACGTACTATGGCCATAGTAATGAGCTAACCTGTCGTAATGAACGACTTTAGGTTTAGATTTCGAAGACTTACGAATCCGAACCACGACGTCATTCAGCCTTTTTAGAAATGTATACGGGCCATCCCAAGGTGACTGTAATTTCGGACAAAGTCCTTTCCGTCGAGTCGGATTCCACAACCACACCTTGTCTCCTTCGTGGAACTGATGTTCAGTAGCTCTTGTGTCGTAGCGGGTCTTCATCTTCTCCGTCGCCAAGTTGACTCGCTCTCGTGCAAAGTTGTACATCACTTCAAACCGGGCCTGGAGATCTTGAATATATTCCTCAGACGATGAAGGAGCATCTGGAGGGCGGCCAAACAATAGATTACAAGGCAGGCGAAGGTCACGACCGAATAGCATCTGTGATGAAGAATAGCCGGTAGTCTCGTGGACAGCACTGCGGTAAGCCAGTAAAAACAGCGATAATTTCTTGTCCCAGTCCTGCTGGTTTCTGGAAACCACTAATGAGAGGTTATTAAGGATGGTTCGATTGAACCTCTCTACCATGCCGTCCGACTGGGGATGTAATGGCGTCGTTTGGGTCTTGTCAATGCCGAGTAGTTTGCATAGTTCTTTGATTACTACCGAGGTAAAATTCCTTCCCTGATCGGAATGTAACTGAAGAGGCACTCCGAACCTGGAAATCCAGTGCTGTATCATTACCT